GTTTTTCTAAATTGGTTCAGCGTTGAAGAGGTTTGTGTGACAAATGTCTCAGTTCCGCGAGCCTTTCAAAATTTTAAAAAATATTCCCGGAGATTTTTTCTTTTTTTTTTGTGGCTCGAAATGTTTTTTTTTTCAGCGTCATCGGGATTCTCTTTCAATTTCCTCACGACATTGCTTTTTCAGAAGACGGCGAATGAGAGAGAACTATTCTATCGATGAAGGCTATTGACATTTTTCATCATAACTCCGCGCGCAACCAGGAAAAGTTTTTCATTTCGAAATGCCGTTGTTCATTACATAGTCTCAGGATTAGTGAATCTGATGAGACGAAAGTTTCGTCTCATAGGCAAAATTTGTGCGAAAAAATCACCGCCTCAGTTCCGACGATTCGCAGAGAAAACTTTAGGATTCCAGTGCTTCGAAACTTCCAGCGAGCAGATGCTGAAATTCCCTACAACCTTCGGTGAAGCGGTCGCTTCAAGGACTCTCCTGCTCATTTTTTCTTCCTTCTTTTTTTTTTCTGCTGACAAAACAGCATGAATAGAAACTGGTCAGCAAAGTGTGCTGATGCTATCTTGTTTCAGGGCAGAGGCGTGATTATTCCCCGCGTCGGACAGATGGTTGGCTGTCGTGGACTTCTTCAAAGCGACGGATCGGTTCTTTGGAGACTGAACACCTGGCTTCCCGCTTTATTATTGACAGTCCGTATGGGCAAAAACATAAATTTCAGGCACCCAGAAATGCCTTCGGTCTGATGCCACAACATTACACGAAAGTTCCGTGGAAAAAATGCACACACAAAAAAGTTCAGAACCTTTCGCCCGAATTCCCCCCGACCCTTTTCAAGAGTCCGAATTTATGTATTTCCGACTCTTACGCTTTCCGAGCCGCCTCTTCGGCGCATTCGCGTTTTCTAAGAAGAATCCCAGCGAACCACAGTAAAATATCTTATTTTTCCAATGATCTCAAAGTACTTAGACGAAAAGCGTATCCAGGTATTAAATCGCACCCAGGCAAGAGAGAGAGAGAGCGCGCAAAAAAAGCATAAATAAATAAACACCAGGTGAACGCAGCCGAGCGAAATCGTTCCGGAGCGATAAAAAATTTTCAAGCAAAAAATTTCAGTGAAAAAAAATACGAGTCTTCCGCGGAAAATCGCAGGATTTAATCCCTTTTCCCTTCCTCGACTCCATTCTCATCGCAATGCTGGAACTAGTGCACCAAGACCGGTGCAAATGAAAAACGTGCCGCTATGCGCAGAATGCCCGGGTCGGCATTGCGGGAAATTTGAGCCTGCAAAACGCTGCGCAGAATTAGTTTTCGCCAAAGCCAGGTGCGAACCATGAGCCATGACGGCGAGAGCAAATATTTTATTTAAAAAATAATAATGGTGATCCATAAATAACGCGTCACGGTTGCAACAAAAAAGGAAACCATTTGCTTTCGAGCGTCGAGAACAATGCTTGCAAAATATGTGGGTAAAATGCGGTCAATGCCTGGCTGTCTGGATGTCTTTCAAGGAACCCTGCTTAAATTTTTTTTTTTCAGTTCGAGTTTTTCAATATTGCAGAAACTGCATTTTTTCAAGACGTCAAACTTGGCGAAACAATATTCGAATCTCCCAACGTCGAATGCATCCCTGTGTCAATTTGTTTTCGAGTATCCGCCTGAATTTCTTAAAAACCGATGCATTGAAAACCCCGCAACTGACATGGCCTTTTTTTTTTTATTGACACGGGAGAGAGAAAAGCAATAAAAATGAAACTTGAAGCGATTTGAAAGGAAGTGAAAGATTAACTGGACAAATGAACTCTTCCTCCAAGTTCAGCATCCCGTAAACTAATTTAAAAAGCAATTCGAAGTCCAGAATATTACCAATTACAATGTCATACAATAATTTTGATCAATTAATTTTTCCACACCTATAGGCATCTGTTCTCCGCAGCTATTTCATCTGGTTATTTCTTCGAAAACTTATATTTTGATACTTTTCGCTGTTTCGCGTCCGCGAATTCGCATTTCATTTCGAGAATCATTTTTCGTCAGTCGACTGTAAATTCTGAAATTCTTACAGTTGAATTTCAGGGGGGCAAAAAAAATACATTGCAGAGAGAATTTCTATGTAGAAAACCTCTATGGGATGCGTAGAGACACATTTTTGAAATTTTTCTACATCGTTTTTCAGAAAAGAAAATCGTTGCAAAGACAGTCGGCCAATTTTTATTTTTATTTTTTTAGATTTATTCTTTGATTATTTTTCGAAATGTATTCTTTGATTACTGCACTTTCCATCATGATCTTCGTTCCTCTGATGTGCATCGAAGAACAAAACGTCTGGAAGCAGCAATGGAAACCCGTATTTATTGGCAGACAGGTAGGATTTGAATGTCGAAAAGACGTTATTTTTCGCGGGATCCCGAAAAGGAAAAGAAAATAAGTTGATGCTGCCCACGCGAGGAGGAATTTCCAGCGGGGCCCACCTGGCAGCACTTGCGTGTACCCAAGCGCCCACACACACCTTCCCACCCCCTCTCTCTCAGTCGGTCGGGAATCCGACTCCAATCCCACTTACGAAGGGACGCGAAATTTATTTGACTGGTCGGGAAAGGAAACGAACTGCAGGCCATTGGAGTAAGTGCAAGCGATGGAAAGAAGAGAGATATGGGAAAGGAAAAAGGTACGAATGAGGCCCCCAAAAAAATATAGGGATAGACGAAACAACTGGCGGCTGGGTCAGAGCAAACAGCACGTCGACACGGAGGTGTGCAAAAAAAAAAAAAAAAAAAAAGAACAACGCTGCCTCGGATGCCAGTCATTGGGAAGCTTTCCATTCATCACAATTCGCTTCTTTTAAATCTTGGCAACTGGGACTACAATTTTAATTTTTTTTAAAGAGGAGCCAACTATATTTTAGCAGGCAAATGCAAATCCAACGCGTACCAAGCATAAGAGTACTTTTTTTGATGGTTCACCGAAATTTCTGCAGATTTGGCATATTTCTCTTTCATCCCTCAGTTGCAATCAAAAACGGCAATACACGGATGCTTCCGAATCCCGAGAAATCAAAATGAAGCTTAGAGGAGCAAAAAATGTGTTCACATTATCAAATCACATCAAACTTCACAGTATTTGTAATTTACTTATGTAAAATATTATCCACGACGACTTTAGTGTCTTTTTTGTGTATCAAATTGTTCTGTTTCCTGACAGAGGATAATATTTGGTAGTGTGCACACCAATACAAAATTGGCGCTTGGAAAGACCAATGGCCAAACCATCTGGTGGCAATAAAGCCATCAGAACACTCTTCCCAAGAAAAGTCAGTAAGATGATCCCCAGATTTCTGGGGAACAAAAACCCAGCCCATAAAAGTTGGGATTTGACGACCTTTCACAGCATAATATGCCTGCCAAATGTGGGAACCTCAAGGGGGATTGGCCCCCCAAGCGGCGGGAAAAAACCGTCCAATGGGTTTTTGCATCCCCTCGAAGTGCTCCCTTTTTCGAAGGGAGATTCTAAAAATGTTGTAACATGAAAAGCCCGGTAAATTGGTCCAGAATTACCAGGCCGAATTTACCGTAGTTCTGGCAGAAATTTTTTCCCATGTTGCCAACTTCCCCCCTCCGGAAGCAGGGGGGATAAACACCCAAGAAAAAATCCCTGACATCATCATACTGTCAAATGCCCTTGTGTCGTGAAGGTCATTGCTGTGTGCAAAAAGTTTCTGTTGAACTGCGTTTGGAAAACTGTCCTGTTATTTCTGCAGGTTGTGTTGCTGAAAACCCCTTACAAGTTTCTTTTCATTTTTTGAAACTGTTCAAGTGTGTTTGCACTGTGTTTGAGAAAAACACGCTTGTGCTTATTCTTTGACAGGTTGTGCACCTGCCAATTGACAAATTTTTAATCAACTCTCTGATGTAAATCATTTGTAAATCATCCAGTTTTATTTTTACTCACATTCGTAAAAAAGTAATCAAAATCCGAGAAAGTACTGTATATTCTGTTCCCTTCCCCTCAAATTTTCTGTTATGAAAAAGGATTCTACGGATAAAATGTTTACAACTTAATTGCTATAACATGAGAAGCAGTTCATTCTCTCAAGCTCTTTCCTACCCGTGTTGATCACGATCAATTTTTTTGCACAATGGAACAAATAATCACTGTTACATTCTAACACAATTTCGAAAATTGCCAGTACCGTGTTTTTCAATCAAATACTGTAACTTTAATGATGGAAAAGAATCCAATGATTACAAATGAACAAAAGCCAATTTTACTTTTACGGCATGGAGAGAAAAATTCCACTTTTGATGCAATGCCAGGCATAACTTGAAATATTCCAACAAAAGCCTGAAAAAACGTGAAAACGTGAACAGTTCGAATTTTTTTCCATGCAAGGACAACTTTTTTCAATTAATAAATGCAAATTCTTACTTGGAAATGTTTGAAAACACATGAATGTTACTCCTCCTGAGGAGTTAAAATTCCCAGAAAAAAAATTCGCTTTTAGTTCAAATCCTTTGATTTTTGAATTATGGGGAAATCTCAAAAATGATGTTGTTTCCACAAGAAAAAATTATGCAAGAGACTCTTCCCAAAAAAACCCCGCTTCATATTGGAGTTGATCTTTCAAAATGCAGGGACAGATATGACGGCAGAAAACCTTCATCCAGTTCAAAAGAAATCTATAGTTCAAATCATCGAATCATTTGATTTTTGAACCATGCGGAAATCTTATAAAACGATGGCGTTTCTAAAACGAAAATTATGCAAAAAACCCTTCGAAAAAATGTCCATCAATAATGGAGTCCATCATTCCAAAAACACATGGACAGAGAAGAGGGCAGAAAACCTTTATCCAGTTCGAAAGAATCTGTAGTTTAATTCCTATAGTTCAAATCATTTGATATTTGAACCATGGGAAAATATTTCGAATGGGGATGCTACAGACCCTTGATATTGGAGTCAATCATTTGAAACACGGAGACAAAGACGAGGGCAGAAAACCTTCATTCAGTTCTAAAGAATTCAGATTTGAGCCCAATCTCAACACTTCATTTGCTCTGGGTAAAAGCAAAAAAAAAAAAGAGGCGGACATGCAACCTTAAACGTTTCCTCTTCTGCGTGAACCAATCTCCTCGCTTTAATCTTTCAAATTTTCAGTACATTAGAGGGATCCTTGACGAAAGGAATCGAGGAGGAGTTGAAAAAAACCATGGGCGACGACTGGGACGACGAGGAGAAACCGCCGCCACGGCCGCCACTATGGATGCCACGGCAACCCCGACTCCCGGTCTCCATGTGCCTCCAGGAAACCACGACAAAGAAGTTTGATCGGCAACCTTACACCGACACTTGCGTTCGAGAGGTTCCTTCATGTTCAATTCTCTTCAACAACAAAAATGTTACTTGCTTCCCTCAGACTCGTTTCTCTTCCTCTCTTCCTTCTTCTGCCGTGTATTTGCTTCTCAAATTCTGCTCCCGGAGTAATAGTAGCCCCCGGGTGTTACCCGAGAACCCGCAGCATCCGGATCATGAGTGCCTCGAGCAACTCGAAACTTCACTGCTTGGGCAATGTCTTTTTTTTTTTCTACCTATTAATTAAATCAATTTTTTGTCCTTTCGTCTAGTCCTCATAAAGGCTTAATTCCGACGTGAACGTCAAGCACAGGTAACTGACTGATTAGCAAGCAGTACAATTCTCATTTTTAAGCGCCAGAGTGAAGCGTCGAGATTCTAATCCTCCAGGGTATTGTTAAATTTTGAAATTGCTTCAAGGCAAAGTTGAAATTTAAATTTTCTAACAGTACTTACTCGTGATGGTGCGCACCTTTCTCTTTCACCTGATATTTTAATTCACCAATGCTGCTGGAGTCGTAATTTGAACCATAAATCGATGCATGCAGGTTTTATGTAAACTCAACTGACTGACAAAACCCGCGGTTAAGTTAACACAGCACTTAGTTAGCCTAAGCTTCCTGCCTAAACAACGATAAATTTTAACGCCAGAACACTCTAGGACAGGATTATCTGGTGAATTATAGGCCTAGTAATTGAAAACATTTCAGAAGCTGAAGGGATCAAATAATTCGCTCCCAAAAGAATTGTCCCTAACGAAATTGGACCCCGGAGAATAGGTCTTGGGGACCCAGTAGAAAAGGGACCCATGACAATCAGTCCCCAGGGGCAGGCGGGGCAAGTACTGGACCCATGGTACAGGGACTGATGGTCAGTCTGCACACAAGTGGAAATGAGCACGCACTGACCGGACTACCGTTTTTTTTTTTTTTAATGATAATTCTTTTCAAGAATTGCCTTACCAAGCAGTCAAGACAAACCAAGTCCAGAAAATGCCAATTAGGTAAAACGGGTGTGAAAGGGAACCTAATTCCCTCCTCCTTTCAGGTCCCAGTGTGGGGGAAACCGTTCAAGTAGAACATCAGTTGCATATACACAATATTTTTTTTTTACCAAGTTTCCCGTTGCTAATAATATTGACATTTTCTTTGTTGAATTGTTTCTCAATGGACAAAAAAGAAATTAATCAATCTCTTAAATTGAATGGTTTGTTTCAAGTTCTTCATTGAATTACATGAAAAAATGAGAATTTTGCCTGGTCATCACTATCTGTGCACAGACTGATCATCACTCCCTTTTTCATTTGTCTGGCTGCCCTGTGAACATGCCTCCACCTGTGAGCTGATTATTGTTGGTTAATATTTTAGTAAATCCCGGGCCGAGACCCATTTTGTTGGTGAGCAATTCTTGCGGAGCCCAAACAAATCGTATCTGAATGTTGTTCTTTCCCTCTTGATGAGATGAGACCAGAAGGTCCACCATAATATTTTTTTTTCGTTGTACTTTCATTCCTGGATATTCTGGGCTTGGATCATTTTCATCAGCTGAGATTTTGGTAGATTCTGATGAGATTATGCAGAACATGAAATTTGATAAATCGAATGCAGTCAAAGTCCAACTTCAAGAAACCAGCAAAAGAATTTTAGTTGAGCAGGTGTGAAATTAAGAGGGGAAAGTGAGAAGAATTACAAGACATTGTAATTGGTGCTAATCCAGGCATTTTATTGCCAATTTAATGAGTTGACAGATGATTTACCCGGAGGCAAGGGTTCATTTGACCAATCAGTCTTTCCCTTACTTTCAAAGCACATCCAGATACATTTTTATTGTTCTTTCCCTGTGTTGATAAAAATGCCTCCCGAGAATGTGAGTCATGGAGGCTTGAGGGAGGAAAGCCTTCGGTTTTCAAGGCATTGATTCTAGGGAATTCATAAAGGGACTTCAACGAAATTTAAACAAGGAGGTATTTGTCTCAAGAAGGTTCAAGTTATTGAGGTTCAACTGCACGTGCAAACTGTCCAGCATCTAAAAATTACAAGTAACTCAGCTTTGCAAAAAAATTAACCCTTATTGGTAATCCTGACATGGAGTACCACTGAATTTATAAACAAACAAAAAATGCCATGTAAAATCTAACTTAACCTTGTCCATTATGACACAACCTTGAAACCTTCAGGCGTGAGTTGATGCAAACGTATGCAGAAGCCCTGAGGGGGATGCCTCAACAAGCACGGTACTGTACAGTAAAGCACTGTACAGTAGTTTCTTTCCCTATTACCCATTAATGCAGTAATAGTTTAAGGTTTATCTTTGAGTACACTTTAAACATCCCCATGTCAAATTTGCTTCAAGTCCGCGTCTTGATTCCATTAGAAAGAATGCATCTAAAAACATCCATAACTTGCGAGTCATTTCCTCTCAAACCTCCATAACTTGAATTTTCTGAGGCCTTTTGCCTTTTCTTTTGACAGAGGAAAGATAAAATCAATAAAAAAGTAACTTCATGTATTTTGAAGGACTAATTGGGCAAATGAACCCCTGCCTCCAAGTTCAGCACGCTGTAAACTCATTTAAGAAGCAATTCAAGGCCCAGGATATCACCATTGCAATTCCCTGTAATTCTTCTACATTTCCAAAATAATAATTTCCCCAACATGGAACTTCCCTATAGTCAAATTCATTTTTGCTGCTTCCTTTAAATTCAACCCAGATAGGTTTGACTGTACTGTGCAACATTAATATGGTTTCAAGCTCTGATCTGTGTGTGTGTGTGTGTGTGTGCGTGAGTGATTTTTTTTTTTGCCCAGGGTATCACCATTACAATTCCCTGTAATTCTTTCACATTTCCCGCAACAAAATTATCATTTCCCCAACTTGAAACTTCCCTAAAGTCAAATTTATTTGTGCTGGTCCCTGGAAATTCAACCCTGACAGGTTTGACTGAACTGTGCACAACATTAATATGGTTTCAAGCTCTGATATGTGTGTGTGTGCGTTTTTTTTTTTTTTTTTTTGTCTCTAGAACCATGCCATTCGGTTGCACACGGATGACGCCGAAGAGGAGGGCCGTGAAGAAGGAGGCGGCTCCAAGAAGAAAAGCAGCGCCCGAGGCCCCCTCATGGTCGGCGACACCCTGTTCAAGCGCTGGAACGTGCCGGTGACCATGAAAACGGCGCCGGAAAAGGAAGACGAACGCGACGTGTGGATGCTGAAGCAGATGCACTACCAAATGAACTATGCCGACACGTATCTCGAGTTGTCGGGCAGCAAGGTCTTTGCCGTCGACTACTACGATCGTGGCATCAGTCTCACCTGCATCCTCACCTATTGCATTTGTTGCGGGATCCTCATCCAGAAGGTGGAGGAGTACCGCAATAAGTATCTCGTTAACCTGGGGGACGCCTACTGCTGGGTCTTCAACTTTCTCTGGTGGAATGCTCTGCAGGTCACCAACTACATGCTCATTGCCCACTGTGAGCCACATCATTAATTCGGATTCGACAAGTCATTTTTCCCTTCACCCTCCCCTGGGGCCAATAGAGCTCAACTAATAAATTACGAAACACACCCCACGAATCCAACTGTCTGATGGATGAAGCATCAGAATAAATCAAATGCAATCATTCTTTTAAATTTAAACCGCTAGAAGCATAAATTTGAAGAAAAAAAGAGAACAGCGGAACCACGATTACCAGTGCTAATGGTCTGGTTCTAACCTTCTTCCGAATCATCTCAGATCATTAAGCACCACCTCTTCATCTAAATTAATGGGACTAAAAGAATTTGATTGAAGTAGACACACTCAAAAAATCATGTTTCAACTCAGAATTAAGGGTGATGCCATCAAACGGGACATGTATTTACTGTACTAGAATCGTCTCAATCATAAAGACTCGATATTTCCAATTTCCAACCAGAGCTCGGAAAAAACAAATTTGTCTTTTCGGTTCGATGCAGGTTTCGGAATACTCCAATTCCTCATAATCCCAGTGATTAGACGGATATACTACATCATGTTCAGCATGGCGTTCACAGCCATGTTGTGCTGCTATCTCCAGAAACAAGGCTGCTGGGCCATGTGCCCGTTCCTAATGTGGGCCGCCTTCATTATCACGACCATGACAGCAGGGCGGCCGCCAATCTCCAACAGGATGGGGGATCCGCTCGCCGATGTCCTCTTGTTCGTTGTCTTCTTGCTGCTGGCCCTTCAAGCCATTTGTGCAGTAAGTTTGCACTGAAAGTTTACCTTCCCCACTTCTGTACAGTATTCAATTTCCATCACACACACACACACAAAACGTATTTCACCGTTCAGTGAGACCCTGAAATGCGGATACTGCATTTTTCAGTTGAGACGATTCGACTGAAATGTAAGCAAGTTTTACTCATCAATATTCACAAATGAACCAAAGAATTTCCCAATTAATTCAAATCTTGAGATGGTTGAGGCACATTGTATTTTTATGCTCCTCGCACATTTTGAGTTTTGGAGGCGAATATGAGTTTTTTATGCTTGTATTTTATTTTTATTTTTTTGCAGAAAGATGAGGAGATGGAAAAGTGCGTGCTGATGTTGCTGCTGGGATTCGCATACGCGGCACCAATCGGCTACTGGGGCTGGTTCAACTGGCGAATCGTCATCTACACGGTGTCCCTGTACAACGCGATGCCCATAATCGAGACGACCCTGTCCAACAAACTCGGCGGCCACACGCCCAAGACATTTGCCAAGTTCATCAAGGAGGACTGGCGCAAGGCCCTGCCGTACTTCCTGGCCCTGCCCGTGTCCTGGGGTTGCCCACTCAAGGACTGCGAACGGGGCCTGTTTGACCTGTTTGCCGGTGGCCCCCTGGGTCGCTGGTACGCCGACGACGACGATGACAAAGAGCCCAGGTCCTTTTTCAGCTTCGGCTCGCTCGGGGACTGGGGCATCGAACTGCCACCCAAGTTTGACGACGGGCTCTTTTGGTTCTTCATCATTGCCATGGTGTTGTTTGACTTGTACAGTCTGCACGTCATGGAGACGGTTAAAGAGGCGGAGGTTGCGCCGCCAGGGCCATGCACGCCCTACGACTTGACGCTCAGCAAGAACAATGAATTCTTGTGCTAACAACTCTCACACCTGTCACATCTTTCTCCTTTTTTTTTCTTTCTTCACATATCTTCCTGTTTGTCCCATTGCATTATTCCACTTTCTTTTCACCATTATTCACGTATTTGTTAATAAAAATTTAAAGAATCCTCGTTTCCTGATTTCGTCGTTCACCCCAGCAATATGGCGAGGGAATTTTTTTGAATTGAAAGAAATTCGGAACTGTTACTCCCGAATCCCGTAGTGGTCATTGAACATGACTTCTTCTCAATTTCAATAACTAATCTTAATATCAAGAGGCGTAGAAAATAGATTGCACAAAAACTGCGAGGAAATTCTTTCAATTAAGGTGCATGATATTACTTGGTTAAATGGACCAAGAATCACTCAACTGCCAAGAAGTTTTCTATTCTATCAGAGCATTTATTGTCAAAGTCCAGAATTCTCTCTGAAACCTAGTCTTCAAATCTAGAGGCGTATAGCAAATAGATTGAACAAAAATCGAGATGAAATTCGCTCAATCAAGGCGCATGATATTTTTTGCCAAAAAATGAGGATCTAAATCTTTCAACTTTCGAAAAGTTTTTCATTTTATTAGCCAGAGCATTTATTTTCGAAATTCCACCAATTACCTCGTTACCCATGGTGGAAAAGGAGCTCTTGGGGAAGGTGACCAAAATTTGAGAGCTAATTTTAGTATTTTATGAGCCAGTTCGTGAATTGAAAAAGATTTGTCTATACCGCAATCAGTTTATGACAGTAGATTCATTCGAACATAGATAACATAGAAATGCACAAAATGTATATCTTCGCAAAAGCACAGCTAAAATTCTAACGTTAATGGCAGAATATATAATTTAACATAATAGAGTACAATAGAAGCTTCATTACATTACAACAAATCTGTTTTTTCAATCCCTATCCAAGAGCCAAAGTATAATTGAAATTTTCGTGTTGATGAATTTTTGTTTACATTGACACTTTTTTATGGTTAAAAATGCTTCGCTGCAGCGATTTTCCACTTTTACCCAACTCAAATAGTTCCCCGGTTCTCTTAGAAGAGATACACTCTCTTCTTTCTACCGACAAGTCTGAAAACTTGAGAAAGTTTTATGACTTATCTTATAAACCCTCTTCGCGGCTTCTGTTTCCGAACTGGGCTCAAGCGATGACTCTCGGAATATTCATTAGTACAACTTCTCCATTGTAAGCTCAGCTGGAACTCTGGCCGTGCTTCTTAAAAAATCATACACTCTCTTCTTTCTTTCTTTTTTTCAGAAGTGGCGTCGTTAGGATTTCTTATGGGCGGACCTCGTCTCCTTCGAGATATTGTAAGTGGATTCAAATTTCACAATCCTCAAACATTCATTCTCGCCTCCCGTCCTAAAATACTTTACCTGCATACTTCCAACAAGGAGATCTTTTATCGCACGGAATACGCTTATTGTGTAAACGGCATCCCGGTGTTGAACGATTCATTGGTTTTGGAGTTCTATGTCCCACAAAACGGCAAATTTCTTTGGAACATTTAAAAGTATTCGGTTTACAAAAAAAGTAGAATCTAAAAGAATGCAGCCTGAAGCGAGGAAGTCGCTCGAGGAATTTCATGCGAGGGACTGTAAATTATCTCGAACTTCTTGATGTATATGACAAAGAGCCCAGGTCCTTTTTCAGCTTCGGCTCGCTCGGGGACTGGGGCATCGAACTGCCACCCAAGTTTGACGACGGGCTCTTTTGGTTCTTCATCATTGCCATGGTGTTGTTTGACTTGTATAGTCTGCACGTCATGGAGACGGTTAAAGAGGCGGAGGTTGCGCCGCCTGGGCCATGCACGCCCTACGACTTGACGCTCAGCAAGAACAATGAATTCTTGTGCTAACAACTCTCACACCTGTCACATCTTTCTCCTTTTTTTTCTTTCTTCACATATCTTCCTGTTTGTCCCATTGCATTATTCCACTTTCTTTTCACCATTATTCACGCATTTGTTATTAAACATTAAAGAATCCTCGTTTCCTGATTTCGTGTTCACCCCAGCAAGGTGGCGAGGGATTTTTTTTGTGAGAAGTCTTCGGACTTGCCTGGAAGTGATTCGGAACTGTTACTCTCGAATCCCGTAGTGGTCATTGAACATGGACTTTCTCTCAATTTCAATAACTAATCGTAATATCAAGAGGCGTAGCAAATAGATTGCACAAAAACTGCGAGAAAATTATTTCGATTAAGGTGCATGATATTACTTGGTTAAATGGACCAAGAATCACTCAACTGCCAAGAAGGTTTCTATTCTATCACAGCATTTATTGTCAAAGTCCAGAATTCTCGCTGAAACCTAGTCTTCAAATCTAGAGGCGTGTAGCAAATAGATTGAACACAAATCGAGATGAAATTCGCTCAATCAAGGCGCATGATATTATTTTTTTGCCAAAAAATGATCTAAATCTTTCACCTTTCGAGTTTTTCATTTTATTAACAGAGCATTTATTTTCGAAGTCTGAAATTCAAACAATTATCTCGTTACCCATGGTAGAAGAGGAGCTCTTGGGGAAGGTGACCAAAACTTGAGAGCTAATTTTAGTTCATGTATTTTATGAGCCAGTTCGTGAATTGAACAAGATTCGTCTATACCGCAGTCAGTTTATGACAGTAGATTCATTCAAACATAGATCACACAGACATGAACAGAATGTATATATTTGCAAAACACAGCTAAAATTCCAACGTTCATGGCAGAATATATAATTTAACGTAATAGAGTACAATAGAAGCTCATTACAGTACATTACAACAAATCTGTATTTTCGATCCCTATCCAAAAGCCAAAATATAATTGAAATTTCGTGTTGATCAATTTTTTTTACATTGACACTTTTTTATGGTTAAAAATGCTTCGCTGCAGAGATTTTCCACCGTTTACACCACTCAAATAGTTCCCCGGTCATTCTACCGACAAGTCTGAAAACTTGAGAAAGTTTTATGACTTATCTTATAAACCCTCTTCGTGGCTTCTGTTTCCGAACTGGGCTCAAGCGATGACTCTCGGAATATTCATTAGCACAACTTCTCCATTGTAAGCTCAGCTGGAACTCTGGCCGTGCTTCTTAAAAAATCATACACTCTCTTCTTTCTTTTTTTTTCAGAAGTGGCGTCGTTAGGATTACTTATGGGCGGACCTCGTCTCCTTCCAGATATTCTAAGTGGATTCAAATTTCACAATCCTCAAACTCATTCTCGCCTCCCTTCCTAAAATACATACTTCCACCAAGGAGATCTTTTATCGCACGGAATACGCTTGAAACGCGTTGTGTAAACGGCATCCCGGTGCTGAAGGATTCATTGGTTTTGGAGTTCTATGTCCCACAAAACGGCAAATTTTTTTGGAACATTTAAAAGTATTCGGTTTACAAAAAAAGTAGAATCTAAAAGAATGCAGCCTGAAGCGAGGAAGTCGCTCGAGGAATTTCATGCGAGGGACTGTAAATTATCTCGAACTTCTTGATGTANGCAAATTTCTTTGGAACATTTAAAAGTATTCGGTTTACAAAAAAAGTAGAATCTAAAAGAATGCAGCCTGAAGCGAGGAAGTCGCTCGAGGAATTTCATGCGAGGGACTGTAAATTATCTCGAACTTCTTGATGTATCATGCTAAAATTGAAAGTTATATGCACTGGTAAATTAGTTGATTTTATACACAAAAGAGACAGCATAAGATTTTTTTTTTAAATGATCATCGAAAAATCCTCGGATCTCGCTCTGAAGATTCACTGGCGCAGTGATTCAAAAATATCCCATCGTATCCGCGGATCGAAAACTTCTAGAATCTCCGAGCAGATCTAATAAAATGCGCAGGAAAGCTTCGACAGGAACGAAGAACAGAAATTCAAACGCGCCAGTACCAGACGCGCATTTCTGCGAAAATTTCCCCGAAGATTAAATCTTCCTTCGATTCCCGAACTCAGCAGAGCCACTTTGCAGATCCCCGAAAGCGGCTTCCGAAATTCCGCGCGATGATGGAAATCGCCTCGGATGTTCGACAAAGGAAGAAATGTGAAAAAGAAGAAAGAAAAAAAGATAGCACCCACACATATAGGCATCGACGAATAAATCCCGAGACTGCATTGATCCCTTCACCCTGGTTCGATCACGTACAAGGCCCGGACTTATCTCTCCCCCCCATCTGGCAATCATTTGGCAGGAAAAAGCGAGAATGCACGCGACTACCTCGACTTTGATCGGAATCGCACAACAACCGCCCACTCCGGTCAATCTCAAAGTTTCGGACACGTTGGAAATCCTGAAGTTACCACTAATGTGTTTCACTGCTCGATCTCATACTTCAACCACTCATTTACCTCCTCAATTGATTTGAGACAGGTACCACGCTCCAATCTTCTTTTTTGTTTGAATTCTTCCATTTATAAGTATTCATAATTTTTTTATACCCAAAGCATTTTCTGTAAGAAAAAAGTTTGGCAACTCTACGGCATACAAATCTGAAACGAAAGTACTGTAGGTGACTGAAAAAAAAAGAATAATACATTTTGCCGAAGCAGGAGCTTGTCAATTTAAAGGCGTTCGAAATAAGCGAATAATGTTTCTCGATCATGCCAATGCACACGAAAGAACATGATCATCATTATTCAACAGATAATTTTATGGACGTCTCCGTGAATTTTTTTTTTCAAGACGTGATCTGATTTTTTGCTGTTCATAGAATACTGCTAAATGGAAATTTACTCGTTTTTTTTTTCTAGCTCACCTTTTACCAGGAATGCAGCTAAAAATTGTCGCCAGGGTTTCCTCTCCGATTCTCTCGTATTGTCAGGAAGAACTTGTATTGAACGACGCGCAATCTTTTTCAAGTCTTGTACAATTTCCTCCGAGGAAACCAAAAGATTAAAAATTGGAATTTCAATCACAGACAGAATAACGGTATTTATCCTTCAGTGAAGGGTTAAAAAAAGGTAAAGGTAGTTTTTAAAGCACTTCCCGGTACAATACGCGGGATAAAAATTTATTTTCGCAGTCGAAGAGTGCGCAAAAGAAATGAGGCCGCATTTGGATAACCTTCACTGAAAAAAAATCGTTAAAAAAAATTTTTTTCATGAAAACTCGTCGACGAAAACATTGAAAGGGAAAGAAGATTAGCTCACTAAAATATTTCTAGTTATCGATTGCGCAAAAGAAATAGAGCCACATTTAGATCAATTTCGCTAACCAAAAATAAATTTGAAAAATACAATACGCTCGTTCAAAAAATACAGCTTGATAAAATCGTTTCGATGAAAAAAAAATTCGGAAGGGAAGGAGATGAGGTTCAGTATTTGCGATAAACCTTCCGCAAAAAGCAAATCGATTGATTCGGACGAACAACATTCTGAATTGCCCTTTCCCCGAGGCTTCGAAAAAAAAATGGTCGAGCAAAAATAACGCGAAAGCACCACGAGCAGGAGTTTGTTACATCGATGGATCGGGGTTTTCTTTCCCTGGTTCCTTTTTTCTGTTCTTTTTTTTACTCGTTGTTTCCTTTTGCTTGTCTATATACTCGGGCGAAGCGTTATGGGCTTTTGTAGATCTGCGCACGATCTCGACGACGTCACACGAAGCTGTTCCCCTCAGGGCGGGGTTTGATCAATACGCAACAGAGAGCGGGGTTCGGAAACATACTGCGTCAGTCTGGGGCCCGCTGATGGTTCGAAAAAATAAACCATCAATCCTTTGCCACGCGATGTTGGCTGTCTTGCCCTCATCCATTCCGGGCCTCGTCATAACGATAATTCTACCCCCGATAGAGCAAATGCCACCAGAGTCTTGATTCATCTGCTGAATTACTGCCGCGAAGACAGCCGGTGACGCCAGGGATCATCACGCGAAAGGAATCACTGCGAAACGAATGATACCCGGGGTTTTCAAGGGTTTCATCATTCATCGCCTTTGAGGGCTTGGTCCAATTCTAGCGGGAGTCTGAAGTGATGATGATGATCATTGTTTTTACGCGGATGGAGGACGTCGAGGATTATAGAAGACCCACCCAAAAGTGTCTCAATCCCTCCAATCAAGGAAAAACGTGTAAATTGAAAACTCAAAAACAAACTGTCCATTTGCAGCAGCCGGATGTGCAGTTTATTTCAAATGCATTGCTGAAAAAATGAAAAATTGAGAGGTTTCGACGGAGACATAAATGTCAGCATAAAAATTAGTCGTGCGGGCTTTTTTCCTGTGATTGTGATTGAAATTGAAGTTTCTGCGGCTGACGTTTGATAATCCATTTCGAGTTAGAAAAAATTTGGATAAATGTCGTCCATAACATTATCTGTTAAGTGATCTTAATTTGTGTTGTTTCGTGTGCAGCATTGGCAAAATTATTTCCATACTTCGAACGCCTTTTAATTGGTGACAAGCTCCTGATCCGGCCAAATAAAATATGTCTAGGAGCTTCATTTCAGATCTTTATGCCTGCTGAGAGTTGCTAAATTTTAATTATTGGGCTTTCTTCGTCTTCTGGTGTGTAATTTGTTTCAAATGCATCACTGAAGAAAACAATAACTGAGATCTTCCGAAGTAGACGAACATTTTGTTTTTTCCAACAATTCGTCATGGAGCTTTTCTCCCGGTTTTTTTTAATTTTCTTTATTCTGCTTTCCTCATCTTCACTGATTATGTATATTATTACAGAAGAGCCACATAAATTACTTAATACCTCCAATATAAAAAAAAGAGTGCAGGATGACGACTTGGAGACAAACTAAATATTTCCTCAACACGTGACAGCAGCCGGGTGCGTAGATTGTTACAAATTCATTACTGAAAATATGTATAAATGATACTTTTAAATTATGTAAAAAATTCGTTCAGTATAACAATTAGTCATACGGCTTTTTGTAATCCCTTTTACAATTGTGCTTCCGTCATCTTCATTGATTTCGCCTCAATACCTTCCTTTCAACATGGCTTCCCAATTATGATAAGAACTGTTCAACAGGGTAGTTACCAAACAAATTAACAACATCACCAAAATTAAAAAGCTTGAAAATTACAAATAAGACTCACTTAAATTGTGAAATCGTACACGTGAAATAACCCTGGCTAGTGAAAATGG